CAATAATTAATTTAAATTAGCATTATATAATATATTTTAATAATTTTAAATTATTATATATTAAAAATAAAAATTCTTACAAATTTCATTTTTTGTAATTTAAAACCAAGAAATTGAGCTTAATAATCTACTCAAGCTTGAGCTTTCCAAATGAGTTCGAACCTATAAATTTTTAAATTATTATATATTAAAAATAAAAATTCTTACAAATTTCATTTTTTGTAATTTAAAACCAAGAAATTGAGCTTAATAATCTACTCAAGCTTGAGCTTTCCAAATGAGTTCGAACCTATAAATTTTTAAATGAGTTGAGCTCGAGCTCGAGACAAGCTCGAGCTCATAAAACTGTTCCAAAATCCCAGCCCTCGAAATTTTAATCATGTATCAAAATATTGTATTCTAATTACAATTAAAACCACTTACACAAGCTAATAGGCTGATTAATTTATTATGATTTACATGTTTGACCAATTATTTTAACTTATAAAGTAAATGAAAATTAATACATAAATAAATCTCAAGTCTAAACTATATAGAATTGTCTTGATTATAATTTTCTTTAATATAAAATTAATGTTTGATCGCAGCTCAGCATTACGTTATCATGACTTGGTCTCACGAATTTTACTTGGGATGAATTTTAATTAGTGGTAATGGCAGCTTAACAGTCTATTTGGGGTTTGTAAGCTGATCCCACCCCTTTTAAGCCGGGTTTATTTTATTATAAAGCACTCCAGTTTTATTGGCTACTACAGTGTTAATAGCAGAGAATTTACAGCCTATTTGAAAATTCTTAAAATCTAATTATTTATAAAATTGCATTATATTTTTTGATGCCATAGCGGCAATAATAGAGAATTTATTGTATATCATCAAAAAATTATCTTGATGGGATACGAATCTCGAGGTAAAGTTGAATCAGAAACTTCCGAAATTAATTTTGGGACCAACACAGGACTTTCTCCCGGTCGCCGACTGTTGCCAGACTTCTGGCAGGCCGCGGACTGACTTCAGAGTTTCGCACGACTACCGATCATCATCGGACTTCCGCCCTATAGAAAACTTACACCAGAGTTCCACTTGGCTGTCGATTGATGCCGGATTTCCGCTTAAGTCTCCAAACTATTGTAATTTCACCATCCTCAAGTTTCGAGGCGGCTCAATTTTTGTAACCTATTCAAACAATGGTGAAATCATTTCGACTAGGTGGCCTTGTGATTTTTTCTTTTTTCAGGGGTTTTCCACGTAAAAAACCTAGTGCTTTTGAGATCTCTATTTATGTGTTGGATATCCGTACAACGCAAAGATGAAAAATTCTCTCTACTACTACGTATATTTTAGCCCGCAACAACGATGCATTTAAACACATCCAATTTGATCTAATTTATTGAATTTCAAATATTTCATAACCTTACTCTGTATTTCTTTTAATTCAAATCAAACACCTAAAATTTCAGAACTTCTACATTTGAAATATTTTATACGTATTTTACTTCAAATCAAACCACACCTAATGAAAATTAGGAACTAAAAAATAAATAAAATAAACTATATTCGTATTATGATAGCCATTTATATATATATATATATATATAAACTTTTTCAAACAGATTCTTAATAAAAAAATCCCTCCAAAACATCTTCTCCTCCATTCAATAAACTAACCAACTCCTTTCCTAAATATCAATAGAGGATTTTAAAAAAAAAGAACTTAATTAAGAAAATTATATGTGCTAATGATCAGTATATTCAGTATTAATCACAATGTTAATCACTTAAGCATCTTAAGAATTTCTTCTTTTCTTTTTTAATTAAAGAGAGAAAAAATATATGAGATGTCAAATAATGAAACTACAAAGAAAATGTCTAACACTTTTCATTTCATATTGTTTGACATTTGCAATAATATAACATTAGCTTTCTTTCCTTCTAAGTTTATGTACCTAATCATTTACAACTTACTAAGTAAGTATAAAAAAATTCTTTTTATTTTTTTTTGAGAGGAAGCAATATTTTTATTTGTTAGCTGAAGGATAATCTAATATTAAAAAGAAAATTGATTTGAATATCATTCACTTATTCGCTTAGTTTAAGGGCAATCTAATTTGAGATGAGCCCAATTTAGATTGACATATTAAAAAACGGATCTATATTGATACCTCTAATAATCTACAAAGAAGATATTGATATGTACCACAAATGATTTTCATATTATAATTAGATTAAATATATTGTAACCATCCAACTAATGATGTTTAACCTGGTTACTATGTCAATTTAAGGCTAATTGACTCAATCGATTATGTTTTATTGAAGACAATTATGATTAGGGCGGGACTCGCGGACACAGCTTGAATTTAGGTTGATTATTTATTGATTATATTGAATAGAGATGTCTGTAGCTTTGGTCAATGTCTCGGCTATAGTAGAGTTGATTAGAGTATACTTGAGTTGTTATGTCTTGACCAAGTCGAATTTGGAATGACACTCTTTGATTGGGTTGGCATACATATATTATATATAATTCTAGCTCATTAGCTTAGTGACTCTATACCAACTCGATTTTGGGTTAACTTACCTTGAATGGTTAGAATTCAGGCTAACCAGTTTAGACTAGATTGCCTTTGAGTTGACTAATGTTGATCAAATAAAGTTTCGGGCATAATTCCAATTAACTTTAAGTTGATTGTGTTTGTGTAAATTAGCTAAGATTGAAGATGGATGGGGTAATTAATCAAGTTATTGTAGCAAATATTTCACAACATTTAAAATCATTGCTATTTGTTGCAGCGATTTCCATCGTTATAATTCTATAATCTTGCAGTAGTATAAATCACTATAATTTTGAAAGAAGTAAGTATTATAGTGTTTATTACGAGCGTATATAATGAAATTAGATGATTATGAAATAGATGCGATAATTCTAAAATAGTTTGGATATAAGTTATTCAATTTTATTACTGAATAATAAGTTGAGGCTAGTGATAATGATAATGATGATTGTGATGAAAAAAAAGTTATATAGTATAGAATATGTAGTTATAAATAAAAGAAAAAAAATCGCAAAATTTGAAAGGGGGATTTACAAATAACTTTATTAATAACTTAAAGTTTTAACATAAATCACTGTGATTAATTGAACCAACCTTAATTACATAATACATTGAGATGCATCAAATTTATTACTAATGATTTAACAAACTATTAGCATTTTAAGTGAATAGGATATTTATTAATGTGAAAAAATTATGACTAAGTCATTGAATATTTTTAAAAATATTATTTATTTATAAAATATTAAATTTAAGTAAAATCTTTTATAATTTATGATTTTATCATAAAAAATATTAATGATAATTCTGTTATTTGGGAGGGAATCTTTCTCTATGACCTCTTCAAATTATTCCCATTTTTACTTTCTTCTGATAACAAAAGTCAATAGATACATTTTAAGCGCTCATCAGCTTTACCGTCAGGTGAACTAATGTTAAAATCACCGTTTACCACTTTGCTTCTCCACCGACCGTAGCAAACGATCTTTAATCTCCATATGATTAGAGACGGTAAAACAATTTGTACGGTGACCATACGCGGATTGCTAGTTTACTAATTTTTAAAGAAGGGTTCTCCCGGGAGAGGCAGCCGGGCGAGCCTCGCTCTATCCTTCTCTCTCCATTTGTCTCATTTTTTCTGTTTTTATTCGGCTTGGCGGCGATCTCTCGGTGTCGCCGGCGGCAATCCCTGGGTTATTGCCGGCGCAATCGAGATGGCGGCTGCCGCCAACATTGGGATGATGGATGGGGCGTACTTCGTGGGTAGGAACGAGATCCTTACGTGGATCAATGCCACGCTTCAGCTCAGTCTCTCGCGCGTGGAGGAGGTATTGCCCTCAGTTATTTTTCCGATCCCCAAGCATTTTATTGTTTCTCGGTCCGATCATCGGACGACCATTCCTTATTTCATATACGTTTTTGAGTTTTTCTGGCGGAATCGGTTTTTATGATTAAATTTGGCCTGAAATGTGTAGAAATGGCACGTTGATTAAAATATAAGATGGATTGCGTGGGAATCGAGGAGAAAGCACTATTTCTTTTCGATATTGGTTTGATGTTTTGACGAAAAGTTGGGGAAATGATTTTTGTTGTTGTTGCGTAGGAGGTTTAGGAATCGGTGATTCCACAGACGGCGGGCGCGAAAGGTTTTCATTAAGAGATGCTGTTTTAGGAATTTTGTGTTGATTGCAATTACTTTTGCGCTCTGGCAGGATTATTTGTTTTGTTTGATCAGAGTCTTTGTAGAGTTTAAATTTCATCCGTCTTTATATGTATTGCAGGCTGCGTCTGGTGCCGTCCAGTGCCAGATGATGGATATGGTCCATCCAGGGGTTGTTTCAATGCACAAGGTAATCGCGTCGTTTTTCTTCTTGCGTAAATTTCATTTGTAATGTTGTTTTCGTTTGCATTACTTAGATTTGCTTTGCTTTCAGGTGAATTTTGATGCAAGGTCAGAGTATGACATGATTCAGAATTACAAGATTTTGCAGGACGTTTTCAATAAGCTTAAGATAGAGAAGGTATTTCACTTCAAGCCATTCCTGGCGTTGGTCCTTGATATCCAATCATAATTTGTTCTCAGAAACTGCAAACTTGGAAAGGCCTATAAAGTGCCCTCAAAGCTATGATAAAATATTTAGTTTATTATAAACAAACTATTAGTCGTTATGTAGCCAATCGCAGTTTTGTGGTGACGCACTAACAAGTTTTTGAGTTGTCATTTCCTTAGGCGTTCTCAGATGATACAGATATCGTCTGATGTTCTAGAAATATAAGCCCCAATTTGTTTTCTTCCTTGTTTTCTTGGACAATTCAAGCACCATCGTGTTTAGTTATCATCATTGTTATTATTATTATTATTATTATTATTATTAAATTCTTGACCTTTTTTTAGGACGATAATGAGTTTCTTAGGAGGATTATGTCTGTGATTTAAAGGTTCTTTAACTATGACCCTGCATCTTTATTATTGAATTGCCCTAAAACACCCCTCTAATGACTTCCGTGAAAGGATAATCCTTAAATCTCATAATATTTAAATTAGAAGCAAAGGTTTTATTCTTTAGCTTCTTAGTTCAGATATTTCCTTATAAGATTATTTAGTTTTGGAAATTCATTATTTCCATTATACATTGTTATTTTCAACTACTGCTCTTCTTGACTTTTCAAGCCATTGTTCACTAAATAAGGAACATAAGCACAATACCTTAACCTTGACTATTTTCTAGGGTCCTGAGATGTAATTAATCATAATAGATTGCCTTTATAAGAAGCCTCCATCTCCATAATAAAATAAACCTCAAACAGTTTTATTGATTCATTAAGGGATATCTCTTGGTTATTCCAATCTATATGCCACTGATTTTCATGGGTATATATAATATGATAGTTGGTAATGATTATCCTTTTCGTACAATCTAATGAATATCTTTCAATGTAATAACAATTTTTAAAGCTTTTTATTTTTTCTTTGTGCTTGTGTTATACTTTTTGATCTACATCAAGAAGAGGAATGCACCATTTGAGTAGGTGTGAGCTCCTTAAGGAAGAAGAAGGGGAAGAAGATAGATTAGAAAAAGGAAGAAATTAAAAACTTATTTCTTGAATTCAATTACAATCTTTGGGGTCTATTTATAATGTTTATATAAACCGGTTTTGGGTTTAATAAAGGGTTAGACCAGCTGGTTCAATATAAATGAAATAAAAGAACATGCAATGGATTTGAGCCTGGTTTAATGCTAAAATAAGTTGATCCATGAGCTGTTGTAGCGGTCTCAATCTTTGAAAGATTTACTTCCTTCATCATTTATGATAGGCTTTAAATATTCTATTATCTTGAGGCCAATTTTTTGAAGTGTTCATCCATTCTTGACATTCTTGTTGTACTAATTTTCAATCCAAAAAAATATATTGTTGCTTAGCACTTCCATCTTCATGAAAAGTAACCTTGCCCTCAATGTTGAGAGATGGAAAAGAAGCAGAAAGAGCTTTCATGTGTAACTCTTGGTACCAAGTAGTCATAGGTCCTTCAAGATGAAAGGAAGCTATTGAGAAGGGATTCGATCGACGGAACCAAGGATGCTGACGGAAGATGAAGGATCTAGATGGAGTGGAAGAGGTGGGTGTTCAATGCACAAACTATTAAGTTTTTTGTCAATAGAATGCATGAAAGCATGAAATTGTTGAAGTGATGAGCCAATGAGGCAAATTGAACACTCACTTGTTGTAGGAATTTTTGGATTTTGGAGAATTGTAATTCTTGATTGGTTTGTGTTTTTTGGAGAGCTTCTGCAAAATTTGCACTTTTTATGATGATTTAAGGTTCTTGAATTGGTACCTGATGAATGCTAGAGAAAACCAGTAAATTTGCAAGCGGGGAATGACGGATGGTAGCTTTATTATTGATGTTGTAGATGTTGGACCTGTTCTTATTGAGTCGGTCTTGGGGCTGCAGTTGTTCTTGATGCAGGAATTTGGAATTTGTTCTTGTTGGACTGTTTCTTGAACTTGAAGGCTAAAATTTGAATATAATGAAGTAGCGGAAGAATTTCTGGAGTGGCGACAGGAATGCTGCAGGAAACTGAAGAGGAATGATTTGGAAAGCTGTTTTGTTGAAGAAAACAATAAGAAGAGGGCTGGAAGAGCATTTGGTTGCAGAATCTTGCAGCTGGCTGGCTCTTAATTGCTGCATATTTCTGAATCTGAAGCTGATGCAAGTTCTGGAACTGTTCTTGAATCTGATCTCTGGGCCTATTCTTGATGCTAGGATCAATTCTGATGCTCCGCTGACTGTTTCTTGCAGCTGAAAATAGTATCTGATGGCAGATTCTTGAAGGCAGCACATTTTTGGAGGTGAACGGAGAATCTAAATGGTGCTGATTTCTTGATGTTATTCTTGAATGCAGCAGATTAGCAGGCTGAAATGAAGGCTGTGGTAATGTAGACTGCTCGCCCCAAGGATGAGGAGGTGGAGAATTGAGTTTTTGTGGTGGAGAAGATGTGGGGTGGCTGGAAAGTGGGCTGTCTATGGTGGAGAGTGCTGGGCAGTAGGGTAGGAGTTGGCAAGGTAAGTTTTTGGGGAGAGAAGAGGGCTGGTGGCTGAAAAGAAGTGTTGGCTGCGGTGGAGACTGCTGGTCGGTAGGAGGAGGGGGAAGTAGGATTTTTAGTGCAATGAGAGCATCGTTTGTTATGCTTCTTGATCTACATCAAGAAGGGGAATGCACCTTTTGAGTAGATGTGGACTCCTGAAGAAGAAGGGGAAGAAGAGAGATTAGAAAATGAAGAAACTAGAGATCTTATTTCCTAAATTCAATTACAACCTTTAGGTTCTATTTATAATATTTACATAAACCAATTTTGGGTTTAATAAAGGACTAGACTAGCTAGTTCAATACAAGTAAAATAAAAGACCATGCAATGGGTTTGAGACCAATTTAATGCTGAAATAAATTGAACCACGATTTGTTATAGCTGGCCCGTTGTTATAGTCCTCTTAATCTTTAATAGATTTGCTTCCTGCTTCTTCTATAAGAGATTTTAAATATTTTATTATCTTGATGCAGATTTTTTGAATTGTTTACCAATTGTTGACATTGTTGTTGTACTATCTTTGAATCCAAAAAAATATATTGTTGCTTAACAGCTTGAGTGCTAGTTGGATGTGTATCTATCTAGCAAGTTGCAAGTGTAGTGAGTGCTACTTTCCAATAGAAACTACCTCCTCGATTGCGTGAGGCCTAAATTTCAAATTTTGGAGAGTTATTTCTATTGTGATGTAGAATATTCATGGCAATAGACATAAATTGTTTAATATTTTAATTTTATATTAAGATTCAACATACATAGAGATAAAGAAGATTTGTAATAGACCCTAGAGTTTTTGAGTGGAAAACCCATAAAGAGAAAAATCATGGACCAAGCCCACTTGAAATGATTCCACTAATGTATGTTGTTGATTAAAAATGATGCCCTTCCTGATAATAGGAGAATGTATTAATATAATATAGTAGACACAAACTATAGAAAATGAATTCTATGGTGAAAGTTAGAAGAGCCTTGAGGCATTGAAGTTGGCTTTAAGAGCTCATTTGTTGTTTGTTCCAACGTTCTCCTTTGATGAAAAAAGATTAGAGACCAAGAATTTCGGTAGAAATATTGGTTTTGAAGTATGAAGTCATTGTTTGTGTCGATAGTGTACATTGACCTTATTAATGATAGTGTGGGTTGACGTTGTTAGCAATGACCGGTGACAAAATAGCAGACATTGATGTTAGTGTGGACCAACAATTGTTGCGTGATGATGGTAGGGAGATGGTAGTTAGGCGATAGTGTTCAAAAGTTGTAGTCAAACGACAACGATTGAGAGATTATAGTTAAGCAACTGTGTTCGAGAGATTGTAGTCGTGCAACTATAATTGGATGATGGTGATCAACAGATGTAATATCAAAATCTGCTCCAGGATCGTCCAGGACGATCTGGGATCGTCCTGGGACGATCAGTTGAGAATTTGCTCCAGAATTTGCCCAGATTTGCTCCAGGTGTTTTTCTGTAGGAAAACTTTAAAATAAAATACGCTACTACATAAGATGACAAAATACAAGTCATGCTCGTGGCCGTCGATCTCCGGCGTCGAAAATGCTGACGATGTCCTCATCACTTGTTGTACTAACTTTGAATCCAAAAATATATATTGTTGCTTAGCACTTCCATCTTCATGAAAAGTAACCTTGCCCTAAGGTTGAGAGATGAAAAAGAAGTAGAAAGAGCTTTCATGTGTAACTCTTGGTACTTAGTAGCCTTAGTCCTTCAAAATGAAATGATGCCATGCTAACACGATGATATTCAAGAGTGTTGTGAAAATCGAAGAATTCTTATGCTTTAAAGGTCCATATTTCGATAAAAGATATAATACCACATCCACAAAAATATTTATGTATATTCTTAATATATAATCTAAAAATTATCTTGATAGGGCACGAATCTTGAGGCAAATCCAATTGGAAACTTTCAAAATTAAAATTGAGACCATATGAACTTTGATTTTAGCAAACTTATAATCGAACTAAACCTCTCAAAAAATGCGAACCCAACGACACCAAACTCGACTCAATCCGAGCACAAATGAGTACAAATCAAAGACACGAAGAACATTATGAAGGTTCAAACCATAATTCGAGTTACCAAATGATTTCCAAACGTGACATGCTTATAGTCAAATCAAGCGGCTCGACGAGACGAATCCATCAAGCTCAAGATCGTCGAATTCTGATATCATTAAGACATTCAAATATCGAATAAACAGTCCATAATCAAGGGAATTGACATCAGCCGTCCATTCAAACCACTCTCGATTTACTTTTGATCTTCCTCCTATTTATTGGCCATGTCACTCTCAAAAATCTATAAATAGACCCCTCACTTCTCATGAAAGTGTGCGCGGGGGGGGGGGGGGGGGGGGGGGGGGGGGGGGGGGGGACCCCAAGTAAGGAAGCAAAAAGAGAGATCACAGATCGCTCTAGCCACCTAGCTTCTCCTCGACCACCCGCCCAACCAATGCTTGATGCCGGACTT